ATCTAGCTTAAATCTAGCGCCAGCTAGAATTTAAGATGTTCAAAAATGGGTACTTTCCTAATGGAAGGTGAGCACTCTTAGGTTTATTACTATCACTACTACTACTACTACCACTACCACTACTACCACTACCACTACTAGCTAACATTTTTATATATTTTATTTTCCCTCAAATTACATGTTAAACAATTTTAAACATTTTTTAAAAGTTTTGAGTTCCAAATTCTATCACTCCCTCCCTTTCCTCCCCCTCCAGACAGTAAGCAATCCAATAGTTTATACATGTGCAATCATGTAAACATTTCCATATTAGTTATTTTGTACAAGAAGACTCGAATAAAAAAAAAAGAATGAAAGAAAGAAAGTGAAAAACAGCATGCTTCAGTCTGTATCCAGATAGCATCAGTTCTTTTCCTGGAGGCAGATAATATGCTTCATCATCACTCCTTTGGGATTGTCTTGGATCATTGTATTGCTGAGAATAGCTAAGTCATTCACAACTCTTCATCTTGCTGTTACTGTATACAACATTCTCTTGGTTCTACTCACTTTACTTTGTATCAGTTCATGTAAGTCTTTCCAGGTTTTTCTGAAATTATCCTCCTTGTCATTTCTTATAGCACAAATAATATTCCATTACAATCATATATCACAGCCAGTTTAGCCATTCTCCAATTATTGGGCTCCCTCAATTTCCAGTTCTTAGCCACCACAAAAAGAGCTGCTATAAATATTTTTGTACAAATAAGTCTTCCCCCCCCGCCCCTTTTAATGTCTTTGGGATATAGACCTAGCTAATATTTATAAAGCACTTTAAGGTTTGCAAAGCACTTTACAAATGTCATCTCATTTTATCCTCCCAACATTCCTGGGTGCTATTATTATCCCGATTTTCCATTTGAGGAAACCTGAGGCTGAGAAAGAGGTTAAATGACTTTCCCAAGGTTACATTGAGCTAGTAAGTGTCTGAGGTCAATTTGAACTCAAATATTCCGCACTCCACTTCTTCTCTTCACTAAGCCAACCAGCTGTTGGCATCTCTGCCTACAAAGGGGAGAGTTCTTTGGGGGAGAAATTTAAATGAGCATAAACATTTAAATTATTCATAGTTAAAGATTGTAGGTGTAAGGGGCTACCCATTACATGGGATAGGGTCTCGACTTACGATTTCATAGTACCGATGGATCTGCAATTTATCATCTTAGAGGTTGCCTAGATCACTGAGAGTCTAAGTGACTTGGTCTGAGGCACGCGGTCAATATGGTCTTCTGGTCTTCAAGATCAGTTTTGTAGGCTCTGATTTCCTATTGCCCCAATCTCTCTCTTCAGACTTATTGGTTATTAATCTCCCATCTTCCCCATCCTGTTCCCCACCCCGTTGCCCTGCCCCACCCTCCCATGCTGTGATCCAGCCAAATTGGGCTTCTCTCTATTCCTCACACACAATACTCTATTGACTGTCTCTTTGTACTAGCTATCCCCACATGGGAAACGTACTTCTTCCTTGTCTCCATCTTATAAATTTCCTCTCCTCCTCTAAGACGCAGTTGAGGCACCATCTTTTGCATGAAGCTTTTCCCGATTACTTCCTCCCCCTCAACCCCTAGTGTCCTCCATCCAAACTATCTTGTATCTAACTACTTTGTGTGTGTATATGTGTGTGTATACATGCATACACATTTATTAGCTCCATAATTATGCTGTATATATTTTTATATTTACTTCTTATTCCTGTTAGAATATGAGCTTGTTGCAAATGGGAATTGTTTTTGTTATTTGTATCCCTAAGTCCTAGAACAGTACTTGGCACATAGTAGGTGCTTAACAAATACTTGCTCATTGATTGGTTGATTTTTTAACCTTAAGGTGTCAATAAATATTAGCTAGTATTACAGCTATACTACATTCTATAATATCATATACTATGATACTATACTATACACTACAATATTATACTGTACTACTACTACTACTATTAATTAACTAACTAACTTTTATAAAGCACTTTAAGGTTTATAAAGTGTTTCATAAATGTCTTCTCATTTTCTCTTCACAATACTCCTGGGTGCTATTATTATCCCAATTTTCCATTTGAGGAAACCTGAGGCTGAAAAAGAGGTTAAATGACTTTCCCAAGGTTACATTGCGCCAGTTAAGTCTCTGAGGTCAAATCTGAACTCAAGTATTCCTCACTCCACTTCCTCTATTCACTAAGCCACCTAGCTGTTGGCATCTGTGCCTACAAGGTATTTGTTTTTTGGAAATGAGCATAAACATTTAAATTATTCACAGTTAAAGATAGTAGGTGTAAGGTGCCACCCATTACTTAGGATTGGGACTGGACCTATGATATCATTGGTGCAGATGCATCTGCAATGGAGTAATAGGAGGAGGAGGGGGAGGAGGAGGAGGAGGGGAGGAGGAGGAGTAGTAATTCTCTGTGGGGTGTGTGTGTGTGTATTAATAACAACTTACATTTATGTAGAGGTTACTATGCACCAGGCACTGTGCTAAATGCTTTACAATTATTATCTCATTTGATCTTTACATGGGAGGTAAGTGCTATTATTATCCCCATTTTACAGATGAGGAAACCAAGGCAAAGACAGGTTAAGTGACTTGCCCAGAGTCATACAGCCAGTAAGGGTCAAAGTCGTTCCACATTTGAACTCAGGTCTTTCAGCTCCAGGACTGAAGATCTATATGCTGTGCCAACTAGCTGTCCCAGAAACTCAGAGTATTCAAGTATTCAAGTATTCAAGATGAAGGGAAAAAAAAATTGTTACTGGTACTAGAACAGTCCCTTTGCAGAAGCAGTCAATTTGCTGTACTTCCTTGTGTTGGATTTTTCTGGGAGTCTGGTGGATTGCTAGCCAAAATCTGTCTGGCCTAGCTGGAGGATTAGTGCATTAAACCAAAAGATTGCTGTGTAGATAGGCCTTTTGTATTAAGTTTTCACTTTTTTCACTCTCCCGACAACAGAAAGAAAAAAAAAACCCTGCACATAGGCAGACTTTAGCTGCACAATATTATTCTTGCCTATACCATATGTAGTATTATGGGAAGAATGAGATCCTAACAGCCAATACAGCTGGATTTTAGTCCTGGCTCTGACATTAATATAGAGTATGGACTTACAAAGATATTAACATTTAAATTTTTTAAATTGAATATGCTAGTCTATTTTTGTCCTAAAATTATTTATGTAAAATGATAAAAGCTAAGTCACATTAGAAGTTTATGCATTTTGGGCATAGTCAATGAGGGAATTTGTTTTGCTTGCCGGTGCCTATTTGCTATTAGGGTTTTCTTTCCTTTTCTTTTTTCTTTTTCCTGTGGCGGTGAGGAGAGAAAATAAATGTTTGTTAATTGAAAAAATAATAAAATTTTAAAAGAAGTTTATGCAAATAAAGATCAAATCTTCAAAAATACTGATTTTGTTTTTAGCTACATTATACCTTTACTTAAAAACTGGTCACATATATCTTTTATGGAGGAAAAAGAAATCTCACAATGGTAACTATTTTTCTTCTGATTATGTTCCTATTTTGGAAAACATCTGTCCAAAAAGCCTGGACTAGGACGAAGTATCATCAGGAGGTTAAGAGATTCATTTCTTCTTAGGGCCAAAGGTAGTTTCCAATGCTAAAAAGTATCTGCATTACAATTTCCAGCACAACCCAAAAGTGCTCTCCTCACCCAGGTATTCTTAAGTCTGGCCAATAAAGAGATTAAAATGAGATAAGTCCAGAAAAAAGAAATTCCTCCTATTTGCAGGTATTAACCATCATTTGTATTTTACCCTTTTATTGTATCTCATTTGATCCTTCTAACTCCTTTGAGGTAGATAGGGCAGAGAGTTAAGTTTCCACAACCATAGGAAAAAAAGAATAAAAATACTATCTTCACATCAGAGGGTTTTGTTTCAAGTCTACAATGAGCAACTTTAGTCTCCATGTAATACTGGCAGTACAAACAGTCCCCAAATAAGAAACCGCTGACTTCTAGGAAACCAGTAGATAGAATGGTCAATGCTTTGCTTCCCAAACCATTTTCCTTTGTTACTAGGGACACTCACTATACTATGGGAGCTGGCCAGGTTCCTAGTTCCTGATGAATCCATATTCCCAGGACCATTTGGGATAGGTTGGGGTTTGGTGCTTCCTGTTTATGGGTCTAGGACTACAGGAGGTGGGAAAATTGGAACTGAGGGCTACATTTATTTTCCATCTCTACAGTAGGGTCAGCATAGCTGGATAGTAGGTTATTGGGGGACAGGAAATTGTATTTAATGTAACAGAGCTTTGCTGTGCATGCCCAAATCACATAAGACAGAAGAACCTGTGTGGGAGATGATAGGAATTTGCTTCTGGGAGGAGACAACCTGTTCCCCTACCATATAAGTAGGGTAGCACCATTTTTCCATTGGCTGTTAGCCAGAACAGGCTGTGTCTTTAAAACTCCCAGACTAGGACAAGTCTAGTTTCACTTTCTCTTTCTGGCTGACTCCAGGAGGTGAAAGTCCTGTTCACCCACAGCATGGACACCTTGTGTTGAGCTGGAAGTGGGCTAAAGGGTTACAGTCCCTCTTTCCCTTTTAGGTCCTGCAACCCCAAGAAAAGGGCTTGAGGTTTTGTTCTATTTCAGTTGTCCTTTTCAGTTCTAGGTTTAGGCAGTGTAATTTGAGTCATGGTAATCTTTGGCAGCAGGGTTCCTGGGCAGAAGTTGCAACAAGCACCTAGAAACTGCAGAGGATAGAATGTTGAGCCTGGAGTCTTCCTGACCTGAGTTCAAATCCAGCCTCAAACACTTTCTAACTGTGTGACCTTGGGCAGGTCACTTAACCCTGTTTGCTGTTACTGGAAAATGGAGATGGTAATAGCACCAACCTCCCAGGGTTGTTGTGAGGGTTAAATGAGATAATATTTGTAAAGCTTAGCTCGGTGGCTGGCACATTATAGGTACTTTAAATAAGTGCTTGTTTCCTTCTTTCCTACCAGACCAGGAGGGAAGCCCTGAGAAGCCAGCCTACTGGGACTCAAACCTAGGGGGCTTTGGAACTTGGTGGGATTCTGCTATATAGGAACTGAATTAAACTGTGAACCTAATCCCGCTCTTCTCCCCATAGACAGAGGTAACGTAAGGGGGGTTAGGGAAGAATGTTTGTATATTTGTTCTTGCTAAACATTTCAAAAAAATTTCCTTTTTAAAAAGCAAATCTGACTGTTAAGTGGTTTGAATGGAACTGGGATGTAATGGACCCCTCCAAAACTGGAGGGACACAAGTGGTGGGAGCTTGAGCCAATGGCACAAAGACTAGATACTTCTCGATTCCTATAAAGGTGCCAGAGAACCCTGGGGGAAGAGTGAAATGTAACCTACCTGGCTCACTATGTCCCGAGCATTGTATTAGGCTCTGGGGATACCAGGGCAAAAAATGAAAAAAATCTCCCCTCTTAAGATGCACACATTTTATCTGGAGAGCCAACATGTACCAATGCAAAGTATAAAGTAGGCATAAGGATTGGAGCTGTTATTTCATCAATATAGAGAACTCCCAGGTGAGGAAACCTTCTTTGCTAGTGCAGGTGGATGGGCACTGTCTCTGGAGTAGGGAGTCTTATTAACCTTTGTTTGTCATGGACTCCTTTGGCAGCCCAGTGAAGCCTAAGAATTCTTTCTCAGAAAGACCCAACCCAATGCAATCAACATTTATTAAGCACCTACTATGTGCCAGGCACTGGGCTGAGCTCTGGGGATACAATTAATGAAAAGATACATTGTCCCTGTCCTCAGGGAGCTTACATTCTAAAGGGGGAGACAACATCCAAAGGAGGCAGGAAAGCAGAATAATGTCTTTAAGTGCATAGATAAAATACATAGTATTATAAATGAAACCAATTATATTGATAAAGTTATTAAAATATTCAAAAAACAAATTCACAGACTTCCAGTTAAGAGCTCATGTCTCAGATTTACCTAAATTCTAGATTCTAGAGCACTGAGAAGACATGTAAGTATATACAGAATATATATGTATATATGTGTGTATATACAAAATATATGTATATATGTGTGTGTGTGTGTATACACATACACACACACACACACACACACAGAGCAAGTAAGTGGCTCTGTGGATAGGGTGCAGATCCTGGAGTCAGGAGGACCTGAGTTCAAATCCAACCTCAGACACTTCCTAGCTGTGTGACCCTGGGCAAGTCACTTCACCCTGTTTGCCTCAGTTCCTCATCTATAAAATGAGCTAGAGAAGGAAATGGAAAACCACTCCAATATACTTGCCAAGAAAACCTCAAATGGGGTTGTGAAGAGTAGGACATGACTGAAAGGACTCAAGAACATATATAAGTATGAGTATGTATATAAAAAAAAAGTATCCCCCTTAACACAGCTCAACAAGTATTTGTTGATTTGATTTTGCATGAATAAGAGCCATCTGGTATACAAGTGCAGGCCTTCCAGCTTGCCTTTCTCTTTGGAAGGTTTCTTCTTTAGTTCAGAGATAGTCTAGCAAGTTGCTGGTCCCCAAACAGGAGAGACTATCCCTTAGTGTGAGAGATTAATCTTCTCTTTCTCTCTACTAAATCCTTCAGTCTCAGCAGGGACTGGCATTAAGAAGAGCAAATGGAGCTTGTCACTTTTCACATTAGTCACTTAATAAACCCGGGCTGACTTTGAGCCGGGCCTCAACAGTGTTGAGGAGGAAGCCAAGCCTAAATTTCCTGCTGCTCTAGTTACCACTGACAACCAGTTTGCTCTGTCCCATCACTAGTCTTTCTACTTGCTGTAGCCACTTTCTTTTACAGCTCTGTATCTAAAAAAAAAAAAAAAGAAAGAAAGAAAAAAAAAACAAAAAACCAAAAACCAAACAAACAAAAAAAAAAACCCCTAACAAAAACAAAAACCACCAAACAAAAAAACCCAAACCCAAACTTATTTCCCAAGGTCGTGGCTAAGTTGCTTTACCATCTCTCCTTCATCCCACCGCTTAATAAGGAGAAAGCTTCATCATTTGTTCTAACCTCCACACTTGCTCCTTGGTTATTCCTTGCAGTTTGATGGGGTTGGAGGGTAGTACACGTGCATGAGACAACATAGGGCAGAAGAACTCTAGATTTAGTATGAGGGGACCTGGGTCAGAATCCCAGTTCTCTGATCTTGGATGAGGTACTTCATCCCCAGGTTATGGTTTATTACTCTGTAAAAAGTAAATGGTTGAATGATATGATCTTTAGTTCGCTTCTGAACCTTTTGTATAATTTTGGGATTACACATTTTCTCAAAACCCCAGCCTATTCATTCATTTAACATGTATTTAATGAGTCCATAATAGGTGTCCTATACAATGTGGAATATAAAAAATGAGGTTTTTTCCCCCTTAGGAATTTTACAGTCTAGTTGGGGAGACAAGATATGCACATAAACCTGAAACATTTCTATAACCGAAGTCTCTGATGAATGCCAAACTAAATGGTACAGACAGTAGGTGCTTACATGAAGACAGAGAGATGACTGGAGGCTTGAGTGATTGGGAAAGGTTTTTAAAATCTTATTTTTATTGATATGCATTGATATGCCTTCATTTCTCAATATATCCTCTCTCTCTCTCTGTCTCTCTCTCTCTCTCTCCCCTGAACCAGTGAGCTCCTCTGAAACAAAGATTTAAAGAGAGTGAGAGAGAAAGCAGTAAAATAAAAGTAAGCTCACCAACTGTGTCTGATCATATGTAACACCCTACACTCATGGTCCATCCTTTGCCATCTTGGCACAGAAGGGAGGGCAGTAAATTTTCTTAACTCTTCTCTGGGCCAAGCTTGGTCATTAATAATTAAACAGTAGTTTCTTTCTTTTTTTTTTCCATTTACATTGTTGCAGTCATTGTATATATTGCTTTCCTGGTTCTTCTAATTCACTCAGCACTAGTCTTTCCACGTATTTTTGAATTCCTCATGTTGATAGTTTCTTATGGCACAGTAATATTTCATTACATTCATGCATCACAATTTATTTAACCATTTCCCAATTGGTGATTTACCTTGCTTCCAATTCTTTGCTACCCCAAGAAAGGTTGCTAGAATAGTTTGGTTTATAGGGTACCCTCCTTAGGGGTATACACCACCAGTGAGATTTCCAGGTCAAAGAGTATATGGACATTTTAGTCACTATATTGTGATTATTATTGCATAATTCCAAATTTCTTTCCAAAATGGTTGTATTGATTCACAGATCCTCCAACAATGCACCAATGTTTCTATCTTCCCAAAACCCCTCCAACATTGACTATGCTTTCTTTTTTTTAATTTTTCTTAATTTTATTCTCATCTTTATTAAAGTTACAGGTGAGCCAAAAGCATACCTATTTTATTTTATTTTTAATTTATGCAATAAAACAATCATTCCTATAACATAGTATAATAAAAAAGATGATTGCACATGAAACTGCAAATCTATTATGTATAACTTGCTATTCCTTTTAAATATATAATAAAGTTATCATGTAGATTTTTTCTTCCTTCAAACTCCACCCACTCACCCTAGAGATGGCCACCAGTAAACACAAATAGGTGTACATATGTAGAATTATTCTATACATACTTCTGTTTATCAGTTCTTTTTTAAAATGTCTTTCTTCATATGTCCTTTATCATTAATTTGGGTGTTTATAATAATCAAAATGTTGTTTGTCCTTTGTTTTTGAAGAGGACTATGGCATCAGGAAGGTGATGCCATGATTAGCAAGTGGATTGGATTTAAGTGAGGGAGGGTTGTACAAAGTCACCAGTCTCACTTTCTCTTCTGGAGCCATCTGAGCTCAGTGGCAAGATATAGATCAGGATGACTGGAGAGGGCCTCTTATTTGCTCAAAGCCGTATTTTTTTGTATGTTTGTTTGTTTGTTTGTTTTTTGGTGAGGCAATTAGGGTTAAGTGACTTGCCCAGGATCACACAGCTAGTAAGTGTCAAGTGTCTGAGGCCAAATCTGAACTCAGGTTCTCCTTCCTCCAAGGCCAGAGCTCTATCCACCGTGCAATCTAGCTGCCCCTCAAAGTCAAACAACATTGCTGTTATTGTATACAAGGTTGTCTTGGTTCTGCTCATTTCACACTTCATTATTTCGTTCAAGGCTTTTCCATGTTTTTCTAAGATCATTGAGCTCATCATTTCTTATAGTACAGTAGTATTCTGTCACAAACATATACCACAACTATGCTTTTAAGAATGGTCGTATCGATTCACAGCCCCACCAACAGTGTTTCAGTATTCCTTTCCAGGAAAGGTTTGCTGTATAAGGTAGGATTTAAACTGGATCTTAAATAATGAGTTGACTTCAGACAGATGTAGAAGGCGTTCCAAGCAAGGGGAAATAGTAGAGATAGGAATAAACTTGGCATATTCAGGGGACAGTGTGATGGCACTAGCTGTGCTGAAGAAGAAAGTTCATACCAGGGAGCAGTGAGAAATGAGGCAAGAAAGTCAGATTTTAACCCTGTTGGGTAAGTCTTGAATGCTACTCTGAGGAATTGGTACTTATAGGCTGCAGAGTGCCACTCCAGACTTCTGAGTAGGAAAATGACATGACAGAAGTGTTTTAGGAAGATTGGTTTGGCATCAGAGGACAGTATGGAATGCGGGTGGGAAAAGAGACCTAAGGCAGAAAGCCTAGTGGATCTAGGTCTCCTGGATCACCTGCTTCCTTTTCAGGCCCTTTGCTTTTCTCCTCCCTAAAGTGAATTGGGGGATACTGGCAGCAGAAAGTTCCAGGGCTGGGCACATAGTCAATAAGTATCTATTTATTTTTGCTTTTTGGTGAGGCAATCGGGGTTAAGTGACTTGCCCAGGGTCACACAACTAGTAAGTGTTAAGTGTCTGAGGCTGGCTTTGAACTCAGGTCCTCCTGACTCCAAGACCGGAGCTCTATTCACTGTGCCACCTAGCTGCCCTGAATAAGCATTTGTTCAGAGCCTACTACATGTTAGGCACTGTACTAAGTGCTGGGGATACAAAGAAAGGGAAAAAGAAACACAGTACCCGCTCTCAAAAAGCTCACAGTCTAATCAGTGAGATAACATACAATTATGTACAAACAAGATATATACAGGCTACAAGAGAGCAAGCCCTAGCATGGAGGGAGATCAGGGAAATGTTTCTTACAGAAGATGGGATTTTATCCGGGACTTGAAGGAAGCCAGGAAAGCCAGACAATAGTGGATGGTGTGCTAGTAGCAATCATTTCATCATCCCTTGCCTAAGAACCAGCTCATCAGATCTGAATTGCTGGGACTTTGCGGTATTAATATTCCTTCATGGTTATTTTTGGATCTTGTTTCTCCCTTGAGTAGTTGCTAGTTGACTAACTTGACTGAGTCAGCAATCACAAGTCTTCCCAGTAGACTCATTCCCCTAGCATGACTCTCATTGCATTTCAGTGGGCCTAGCTTTAAGTGCCTAGGTCCAGCTGTGGGGCTGAGAGTGGGTAGCCAGAAAGAAGCTGACCCTTTTGGCCGCACGAAGGGACAGGTGGGCTGAAAGCTGAGACTCTAAAACATGATCTTGAGCACGGGGAGGGAGGTGGCTCGATTACAGTCCCTCACGGCAAACAGCATGACTTGCTCACTTTATATAGCCTGGAAAGCTCTATATAAGGCGGAAATGCCCAGGGCTAGACAGAGAGAGACATTATTGTGACTGCTGCTTCGATCATCACTGCCACTCTTGTACTGTCAGAGTTTTCTCTTAAAGACCAAAGCTCTGTCTGTGCTTTGCACACTCCCTAGCTTGTACTTCCAATTTCCTCAGACTCTCTATATCTTTTAAGGGCACCTGGGGAGAGTTTACTTTCTCCCACGGCCTGCTAGGATGCGTTACTCAGTGCCAACCACCTCTGCCCACCGCAGCCGCTATAATCGGCGGCGCCTGCATGCAGAGCGCTGTGTCCGATTTCCCAATGATGTCCTGTTTTTGGATCACATCCGACAGGGTGACCTGCGGCAGGTAGGACGCTTCATCCGGACTGGAAAAGTCTCCCTGGATACCATCTATCCCTCAGGTGAGCAAAAGAGGTTCCCCTCCACATTTCTTTAAAAAGTTAGTTATTGTTTCAAGACTGATTCCTTTTGCTGCTTTTGGCTATTTTTGCAGTCTGCCGTACCCCAGATAACCTAGAAGAGAATTTTAGAACCCTAAAGGAAGTGAAGGGACCTGAAGCTATATCTACACAGGAAGACCTTTTAACTTGTTATAAACAAACTGGTGTGTGTGTGTGTGTGTGCGTGTATGTGTGTTGCAGATAACAGGTGCTCAGAGACTTCTGAAGGGGCAGAGTAGGAGGTAACAAATCTAGACTTGGATTAGGGAGGGATTGCTCTGGGAACTACCCTGAGACTGATTAGAGGCTTAGCCTGGCTCATAGGAGCACCAATTTAGAACTGGAAAGGACCTCAGAGGTCAACTAATCCAACCTGCTCTTTTTATAGATGGGGAGACTGAGGTCTAGAGAGATGACTTACCCAAGTTCACACAATTAATTCGTTGCAGACTTGGTTTTTCCTAGGGTAGACAGGAAGAAAACACATGGGGTAGGGAGTGTGCTCTCAGCCCCAGCTCCTTCTTATCTAATCTTCATCTTTTCAATCAACCCATCTATTGACTTCCTTAATGCTTCTCTCCTCCAGGTCTGGCCGCCCTGCATGAAGCAGTACTTTCTGGGAACCTGGAGTGTGTGAAGCTGCTTGTCAAGTATGGGGCTGACATTCACCAGAGGGATGAAACAGGATGGACTGCATTGCACATGGCCTGCAGTGATGGCTACCCAGACATTGCCAGGTGAGGGGCCCAGGCAGGGGTAGGGACTCAGCTCTCCTTTTGGCTGCCAATGGCAGACCTGGGACATGGTAATCCAACCCAAGGGCATCCTTTGGAGGGAGGAGCAGGATCTCAAATTAAAACTCAAAGTCCAGCCTCCTTAGTCACAAGTCCCATTTACCCACTCCTAGGAAAAAAGTGGGATGACCTTTAAATGATAGGACACTATGAACTTAAAGCTAGCTAGAGGAGACCTTTAAAGCTCCAACCCTATTGGGGAAACTATTAAGAGAATTAAGGTCCCTGAGGACAAGGGCTACTTTTTATTTTATTTTTGACACTTAACAAATGCTTGAATTGAACTGAGGTCCAGAGAGGTCAAGGTGACACTGGTCATAAGTGGCAGAGCTGGCATTTTACCCGTCCTTCTAAGTGCAAATCCATCCCTCATCCCCCCCATCCGGTGGTAAACAGCAGGACACGAGGCTGTGTCCAGGTATTTGGACCACATGCCTCTTTCTTTCTAGAGAAAAGCAAACGTGTAGGCTTGTCCCACTCACCACTGGACCCTGGGTGCCCCCAGCCCTTTACCATTTTCCTCCCCACCTTAGATACCTCATCTCCCTGGGGGCTCACGTAGACGTTGCCAATGACGACGGTGACTTGCCCTCCGACCTCATCGACCCCGACTACACGGATCTGGTGGAGCTATTCAAAGGGGCCAAGATGGACTGACTTGCTGCCCTCCTCCCCATGCAGAGCCCTCACTGTCCTCGCCACCGTCCCCCCTCCCCTGGAGACCCTGGACCTGAAGCGGGGTTTGGCGGGGAGGAGCCGGAGCTGGAGTTGTGAAGTTAAGCTGTTTATTAAGCTCTCACAGGGTGCCCCCTCCCCAAGCCCCGCCCCGCCCCGGGCCACCTGGCCCGAGGCCCCGCAAGCCCCGAGGGGTGCACTGGCTGTGCGGCTGCGGGGACCCCCAACCGCAGCCCCCCGCCCCGGGCTTGGGCGTCCTGCCCGTGCGCACGCCTGAGCCCCGGCGGGAGAGACCCCTGACGGGGAGGCCAAGGTCAAGGAGGTCCGGGGCCCCAGGGGACGGGGGGTAGCGGTGCTCGCGGAATCCTGCTGGGGGTAAGGGACTGCGAGCTCCGCTCGGCCCTCCCCGCCCCGGGCCCCGCTTTTCTGTGCTGCCCCGCCCGGAGCTTGGCTTTTCTACAGGACGTTTTCGTGTTTTGTTTTTTTAAATCGTTGAATAATTTTTACTTTTTCAATAAATGTGATTTCCACAGACCACTGTTGCCTCTTTGCCCCGCCCCGCTCTTCCTGTCTTCTGAGGCCCGGGAGCTGGGAAGGCGGCCGCCCTACACCGGCAGCCAGGCTCCAGTTCTTCCGAGATCCTACCCTTCCGCTCTCTACCCCCAGGGGTCCGGGATGCGCAGGGAGGGGGGCGGGGCGTTTTAGGGGGCGGGGCGTCCAGTTACGACCACACCCCCTCCAGCTAACCTCGGGGCCGAGGTTACCCTGGGGCTACTGGTAGAGAGGCCCGCCCGGGCCGAACAATCACATGGGGGCTCTCCCCCCATCCTGCGCCTGCGCGGCCCCTCTGTCTCGTCACTTCCGGCTCGGGCCTCCCAGCTGGAAGCGGCTGCGGCGGTGGCGGTGTCTGAAACTGGGCGAGGTGAGGCGCCAGGGGGCGGCTAGGGGCCCGGGGCTGGGGGGCGGGACTGGGCTCGCGCCGGAAACCTGTGGGGATCGCCCCGCCCCTGACGCGGCCTGGGCCACGCCTCCTCCCTTTCTTCCCACCCCCCCTTTATGTCACGATACGACCCCCCCTCCGCATTGTCGCGATGCGACCGGCACGTCACGTCGGGAGGTGGGCCCCGCCCCCTCCCACTCGAGGAGTCCTACCGCGTGACCTACACGAGTGTACCTGTCATGTTGTATAACCCCTAACTGGGGGAGAGGGGACCCCCACCCCGGGACGAGATAGTCATGTCGCGACTCCAGGGCATAGGCGATGTAGTGGGGTGGTATTCCAGAGATTTGGGTCGAGGGCCAGGAGTAGGACTGCTGGTGTGTGGAAGGGAACAGATGTACCTGGGGATCCTTTCCATTTGGTTGTCCCCTTCCCCTAGCCAGGTGTTAGGACCCTCTGCTGTCCACAGGAAATATCACCGGTTCCCTCCTCTTGCTGATGTAGAAGAGGGAGCCGACCAGACCCAGGTTCTTCTCCCTGTCGGAGGGGTGTAACTTCAAACTTAGCTACTGCTGGGCTTTTCAGAATAGTGCAAAAGGGCACGGAGAGGGTTGGCCTGACTTTCAGGGTAGAATGTTCATGAAACTTGCCCGCAAGAGCAGGTAATCCCTGAAGCCTGGGAGTGGGTTTCTTTTGAAAGCAGGTGCCTCTCAACTCCTTTGAAGCAGAAGAGCCTCCTCTTGTCTTGTGGTCCTTGTCTTGTGGTATTATTGGGTATTATTATTCACTGAGGAACTAGGAAGAACCACCAAATATGAATCTGGGACCAGTCTGATCTTAGAAGGGACCTTAGAAGTCATCTAGACCAAATCCTTTTTACAGATGAGGAAAATAAGGGTCTAGTAACTTTGCTGGGAGCGCACATGGGTAGAGAATGGAATTGGACCCAGAAGTCAGCTTTAGTCCAATGCTTTTTTTTTTTCACTATGTGCAAACCCTGCTTTATCTGCTCTTATACTTCAGTGGTCACCAGGTAGTTTGACAAGTATGCCCTTTAAACTTCCTCATACCAAGGGAGATTTATCAGTGCCAGTTTGATGATAGAGCTGGAATTGGAACTCCTAGTATTTAGTTGTTAAGATACCCTATTGGACTGTCACCCCTGCTCTTCCTTGGTGGCAGGAAGCAGCAACAAGAGGCTGAGAAATTTGCAAGTTTTACTTTTGGATATCCAAGTGACTCCCAATTCAGTATCAACTTTCTGATAAAGTTACGAAGCTCTGTTGTTGCTGGAGTCTGAAGATCACCTTCTAGATTTTTAATCTGACTATTTTAAACTGGAATGTTCAGAGGCCTGGAGACAGAATGATTTTATATATGTTTATTGTATATTATAAACCTTAAATCATATAAATATGTATATGAAAACTATATATTATGTTTAATTATATAAATATGTGTATGATAACTATATATGTATAGTTACATATATGATTTAAGGTTTGTAGTGTACTTTATATACATTACTTCATTTGATGATAATAGCTAGTATTTTATCATTTTCAAAGGGATATTTACTCATCTGATCCTCACAACAATCCTGGGAGGTAGGTGCTGTTATTATTTCCATTTTACAGATGAGGAAACTGAGGCAGGTAAGAGGTTAAGTGACTTGCCTAGGGTCACAGAGTTGGTGAGTGTCTGAGGCAGGATTTGAATTCAGGATGATTTGGACACTTCTAAAGTTCCTTTATCTATCCTGCACCAACTACTCACCTATTTGATACTCACAACAATTTTGTGAGGTAAGTTACTAAAGATATTATCCATTTTACATCGAGGAACCTAAGATGTAGAGAGATTAAATTACTTGCTAGATCACACATAGCTAGAAGGTACAAGATTCAAATCTATATTCTCCAGTCTTTGGAGCCTGCTCTCTTTGCACTACACCGCTGCTCCATTCTACTTACTGAATATGAGAATCCAAGCATGAATAATTTGGGTGGGGATCAGGAAACATTGCTTCCACTTCCAGGACTACCACTTGTCTGTCTTCTGCAAAGCAGAAGATCCTTATTTTATCCTTAGGAAGCATTTTTGAACATGATTCAAGTTACTTGGATTTATCTCCCTGGTGTGACCTTACTCACTGTGGGATCTTGGAAATACTGCTTAATTACTTTGTACTTGTTTCTCCAGTAAAGTCGAAATGGATTGAATTTGCTTCTTTCTTTCTTAGGAGGTCTTGAGGTTGTGAGAATATATATGAAGGCCTTTGAATATTTCAATTCAGGAATCGTTGCCAAGTTTCTACTAAGTGTAGGGCACATTGCTGGATGCCAGGAGATTAAAAAAAAAAAAGAAATCAAACATAGCTCTTGAGCCCAAGAAGATTATAGTTTAGTAAAGGAGATGAGATGTGTATGCAAATAACTGTAATGCAAATTAACATGGGTTAGTGTACAAGAGAAATCCTTATTTAGTTCTAAGAAAAGTTTGAGGAGGGAAAGGTCATTCTGTCTAGGGGGATCAAGAAAAGCTTCTTGGAAGGAGTGAGACTTGAAACAGATTTCAGTGGGAAGGTATTAATGGGAAAGAGAGTCCATTTCAGGTATCAGGAACAGGATGTGGTGTGAGCCAAGATAGGCAAGAGCAGAAAGAGAATGGAGGCTTCTGAGTACTTTCATTTTGGCTGGAGCTTAGAGTTTGTGAAGGAGAGTAGTGTTGATAAGGCAGTAAAGGTATTTTGGATTCATCATGGAGAGCTTTGATTACTGGACAAATTTTATTCTGAAAGCCAAAGGCAAAAACCACTGAAGGAGTCATGTGATCAGAATAGGAGTACTTTAGGAAAGTTAAGTGGGCAGCAAGGTCCTGGATGCTTGGGTGAGGGAATGACAGGAAAACCAGTTGGGAAGCTCTCATACAGGTTCATAAATTTAAAGTTGGAAAAGACCTTGAGGCCATCTAGTCCAATCCCCTCGTTTTATACATGAGGAAACTGAGGTCCAGAGAGCTTAAGTGAATTGTCCAAGGTCACACAGAGAATAAGTATAAGAGGTGGGATTACAGAGGTGTGGATGAAAGGTAATAAGGGACTGAACTTGGATGGTGGCAGTAGGAATGAAAATAGATTTGAGCAATATTTCAATATTCAAATATTTCAGAGATAGAACTGATAGGACTATTTTGATGATGAGGTAAAGAGAAAAGGCTTAGGACTTGGGTGTCTGTAGAATGTAAGCTACTTGAAGGCAGGGATTATTTTTGTCTTTGTGTCCTGTTATATGTGATAAGTACTTTAAAGTGTTTGTTGAATTGAACCAAGAAGATGGTGGTACCATTAAAAGAAAGAAGTTAGGAAGGAAATTAAGTTTAGGAGGGAAGGTAATGAGTTTAATTTTGAACTTCGTGAGTTTGAAATGTGGCTGGATATCAGTTGTAGATAGATATCTAGTAGCAGCTGGAATTTCAGGATTGAAACTCTGGGGAAAGTATTAAATAAATTCATTTTACATCTGGACTGGTATAACATCTCTGGCACAGGAGGTCAAATTACCCAGTCTCTACATAGTCACACTGATATAGGTGAGTCTCAGTGCCTGAAGACCTGAAGAGTGCTGTAAAAAAGATACACTGAAGGGTCAAGCTGTGGAAGGATAGGTAGAGGCTTCTAGCAATTTTTTTTTTGTTTCTTAAAGATGTGGCTGTATACACGTGATGTAATTCTGAGCCTTCAATTTTTTAAAAATTTTCTTTTGTCAAATTAATTATCAAGCATTTCAATATACAGAGGATAAGGAAGAATAAGGATTGTATAAGAAACAACTTGTGCACAGTTTATTTTTTAAATAATTACTTATGAAACTGAATAAGGTAGTAACAAAACTATTCTATTCATTTCCCTTTCTGCATTTTTTATTTTTAAAAGTTTTAGTAGTTCTCTTTTTGAAATATTTTAAAATGTTATGTGCTAAGTACTGGGGTTTCAAACACAAAGTGAAAAATACTGAAGCTTTCTTTTAAGAAGATTAATCTGATAGTAGTATGCAGGATGAATTGAGGGGATGACTGAGGCACTAGACAGAGGGACTTGGGAAACTATTGTAAAACGCTAAGTCAGAGCTTCAGAGCATCAGAGATCCTAAGAGAGGGAGGGCTCTTAGAGATCATCTAGTGCCACCCCTAATTTTTACAGATGAGTAAACTGAGTGATAAGGGCCTGAACTGAGGTGGTAGGAGTAAGAATGAGCCAGGAGACTGAGGGTAAAGATAATGCTGAAGGAAGACTCATAGGGCTTGATGAAGATTGGATGGAGAGGGCAAGGGAGAGGGGAAAAAATAGCTCCATGGTTTTGAATCTGGGTAACTAGGAGAATGGTGGTGCCATAGTTTGAGAAAGAGGCAAATTTAGACATGTCATTTTTTTACCTTTTTGTTTTGTTTAAAAAAAATTTTTTAATGAACAAAAATCTACTTTTCCTCCCCCCAAATGCATTGTCAAACAAATTCCTGCATTGCCTATGTTCAAAAAGTTTAAGTCTCATTCAGCAGCCTGAGTTCATCCCCTTTCTGTCAGGAGGTGGGTAGTGGGCTTCATCATGGAACCCTCTGGAACCATAATTTATCATCCCATTGATCAGATTCTTAAGGCAAAATTGTTTGTTTTCATATTGTTGTTGTTATTGTATAAATTACTTTCCTTGTTCTGCTTACTTCACTCCAGATCAGTTCATATAAAGCTTCCTTAGTTTGTCCAAAACTGTCCTTTGGCAAATAGTATTCCATTATACTCATATACTATAATTTGTTCAGCCATTCCATAATTGATGGGCAGCCCTTAGTCTCCAGTTCTATCACAAAAAGAGCTACTATAATTATTTTTGTACCTATAGGTCTCTTTTTCCTTCTTTTTTTTTTTTTAAGGGTATAGGTGTAGTAAGTGTTAACTCAGAGCAAAAGGGTACGAATAGTTTATC